TCGATACATCCACTCAAAATTTGAAGTGTCGGTACAGTCAGAACATGAAAGTGAACGAGTGTCAGGCCTAAGCACTGTAGGCTTTCTTGCTCGCAGGCACTTCCATCATTTCAAAGGACAGCAACATTTCTAAGTTTATGCTGTTTAAAGATGGTTTTGATGAATTTTGGACCGTCCTTCTTTTCAGGTCTGGCAAATACGTATTGATATCCATGTACTGGATGAAGATGGTTCATTAGTGGACTGCGCGTGTATTGCTTCCTTAACAGCTCTTGCACATTTTCGTAGGCCGGACGTCTCCGTTTTTTCTGATTCAATTGTTATTGTAAGTTTTTTATTTACGCATTTACTAACTATCTAAGGTTTAAAGAAAAATATATGAATGCCGTCAGAAAATATAAGAAAGGATGATAAGAAAGATAAATCCGATGGTGGAAGCTGATCCATCGATTTATGAACTGAGCTCTTGCATAACTCCTTGGCCTATACATTCATTCCAGCGACATTCGAGACTGATCAGACTACTGATGTGTTATTTTTGCATGTGCTGTCTGTTAGCAATTGTTTTTAAATTTTCAGCACAGTGGCAGTGATAAAATACCGATACCTCTCAACATATACCATATGCCAGTTTGCGTATCGTTCGGAATGTTTGCTGACGGGTGAGCTATTCAGTCAAGTCAAACACAGTACTTCATTCTTTTGTGCACACACATAATGTGTGTCTGTGTGCGGGTGTGTGTGTGTTTGTGTGTGTGTCTGTGTGTACCGATAAATAGCAGTTCAACTTATTAGAGTAACTTGAACTGCCATTTATAGATAGTACGTCGATTTAGAAAACGAAATTGAAGCGTACTGGTTTTGTTACAGACAGTCTACAACTGTACATTTTGCTTCCATGATGCAGTTACGTAGTTTGCATAGTTTTCAAATTATGCAGCCGGCAAACTTATCTAGTTGCTTTGACCAATGCTGCTTGGTTTAGTGGTCAGCCTACTGGCGATTTCGAGTTCCCGTGAAAGGATTAACTGCGCAACATTTCATCCCACAGAAGCACTTGGCAAGGCTTCAGTATTTTTGGAATGCCCCTCGGATCTTTGTTTTCTCCGTAAATTTGTTGTGTCTCAGTGAACTTGTTATAGTCAGACAAAAATAGTAGCTGATCCGACACGCAAAGAGGAGCAGTGCCTGAAAGGATCGCTAATTGTTGCTGCTAATAAAAGGCAGGAAATATGCACGCTTCATCAGTCTGGAAATTTTCCTCTCAATGAACAGCTGGTAAGTCTTTCTTCATACGCTGTGTTCGTTGTGTGCTTTACAACTAAGGAATGAAACACAGACTTGTCTCCGCTGCATATGATATTTAGGTTTATCCCCGGTATTTTGTGCTTTAAATTGAGATTCGAGAAACTTGGCACCAAGTTCATGCCCTGCAGCACGCTTGAGGGGTACTCGCAGCGCGTGATCTCAGAAATCGCAAACCTAAATTTGCAACTCCGCTTAGTAGATTTTAATGATGAATGTGTTGCAGATTGTTAACTGTGTAGACTTGGCAATACAACGAGCAACGGATGTATCAGAACTTATAAACTCAGTCATTGCCGATGATAATATCAAGAGGTCTGCCGTTTTTTTGCGTTCTTTTCAGTCCTTAGCATTTTGAAACCCAGACCAGTCAAAAATTAAAGCTTCTCTCCGTAGTTCACTTTTTATGAATGGCAAAGACCTTCGGAAACAGTACCTGCTAACAGCAACTACCCGGCAGAAAACCAGTTGATGACCTCCCTTTTTCGAAGGTAACAAGCAGGTTAATGGTGTTTTTGTCTTCTTGATATGCGCTAATACTAAGTAATCATCGAAATGAAAATAAGTAGGGACTCGCACCAGAATAGCCGGTGCGATGATGCGTTTTGTGCAGTTCCGTCTAGCGAACGTTTGACTGCTAAAGATTTTCACTGCTTTGCACTTTGATCTGTGCAAAAATAGTTGAAATATTGTCTGGTTCCTAAGTTGCGGTATCCTTTCAGAATTGCTGGTTTCTAAGTTCCTAAGTTTATTGTCTGGTTTCACTAAAAATTTCACGGATAAGTGAAGGATGAATATGAAATCACGAAGTATCCTTCCAGAATTTTAATCTCCTAATTTCCTGGCTTCCGGGTGATTTTTTACGACAGAATTTTCACGCGGGACCTCGTATGTAAGACCTCGGCGTCCTCTGGAACTGAATCCGAATTTGTGAAGGCCCTGCTTGGGCAGGAAATATGCTACTGAAATCTTCAGCCTCCTAGCTGTTCAGATAATGATTTTTCCGACCAAAACTTTCACGGGGACGTTGAGAATTTGCGAAGTCATATGAGGACAGGGGAGCTACGCCTAAAGCTTCGGCTTCCTATGTTTAGTGGCTTCCGAGGTAGCATTTTTTTTTCCGCTAAAACTTCTACGAAGTCGTGCGTGATATCCAGACTTAGGGAGAGGCTGAATTCAAACTTGCGAGGTTGTAATTGGGCAGGGGACATTACTGTAAAATTTCAGCTTAGTTTTTTCAGTTAACAAGATAATAATTTTCCTGCTAGAACTTTCATGGGGCGGTACGGAGTACCCAAGCTTGCGTGAAGGCTGAGTCTAAAGTTGCGGGGTCGTACTTTAGTAGAGGACATCAATTTCAGATTCCTAACTTTCGTGATTCCCGAGCTAATAATTTTCTCCGCCGAAACTTCCACGGGACCGTATGTGATACCCGGGAGCGCGGGAACGCTGAATTTGAATTCGCGAGGTAGTACTTGGGCAAGAAAAATGGGACCAAACTCTTTTAAGCGAATTATCCCACATTTTCATCTGGCTTTTTTATGCTGATGCTGAATAGAAGTATCCCGCATTTGCTATTATTTCAGGTCCAAACGGCAAGAAATCGGTGGATTCAGTGAACTGATAAGTTTGAATGTGCTGAC